GAGATTGCTAGAATAAAAAAGAAGAAGAAGTTTGAATTGCTAATCTGTTTTTTAAAGGGACTTAACGGACTCAGAACCTGAGCTACATACTTCTTAAATTAATTTTCTTCATGAATACTTCCTTTCTCAGTGCAGATTTGTGTGTTTGAACACCCTACTGTGCTACTGCTTTTGTCTCCTCTTCAAACACCTGGCTTATTATTCACACATTCTCTCCTTCTCCCTCTTCCATCTCTCTTTCTCTCCCTTCCACCTCTCTTTGCCAGGCACCTCCCTCTCTCCTTACATGCAATGATTTCATAATTTACCTTTTGGAAATAATATGTGTTCAGGGATATGGGGGTGATTGGTTTCTGGGAAAGGATCAAGCACGTGCATTCTGCAGTCGCCCATTTCTCCAGCTGAACCTAAAGAGTTGCTGTGCAAGCGCAGTCACAAACCATAATGTCATGCCAGTGTTTCACATGGTTAGGAATGGAGTAGGGATGAGTGGGAAATCCAGTTCCATTCACATTTAAAGCCAAATCTATAAGACCTGCACTTTTTGGAATAATGTGAGAATGGAAACACAACCATTTGAAATTTGCACTTATGCAAATTTTGCAATGCAGTTCTGCAACAAATTTTTGCAAAAAAAGAAGAAGAATCATATATTATTGGAACATGTACATCAAAATGAATATATAAGTGCATAATATTAGGATAAAATGCCTGCAGAATGTATATATTAGTCGAGACTGCATACAAGAAATTGGCACTAAAATGTAGAATAATTTTCATAGAATCATAGAACTGAAGAGGGACTCCAAGTGTCACCTAGTTCAGCCCTCTGCAATGCAAGATGATGATGATGATTTGCTGGGGGTGCTCAAGGGTATGTAATACCGGCATTTCTTTCCCCCCAAATGTTTTCCCAAAAGTGTGGCATTTACTGTAACAACTTCATGGTGAGTACATCCCCCCCTTAAAAAAACTCCTCCTCCTCCTCCTCCTCCTCCTCCTCCTCCTCCTCCTCCTCTTCTTCTTCTTCTTCCTCCTCCTCCTCCTCCTCCTCCTCCTCTGTAAAGTGCTGCAGAAATTTTGAGAATTTAAGAGTGGAATTTAAACTGAATTTAAGACCAGAAAAATGAGAAACTTAGAGAACGGAAACGGACAGATTCATCAATCCCTTTATATAGTTAAGAGTGCCAAACATGTAGGCCCAGAACAGGTGCGGTCACAGGTGCAGAGTAGGTGTTTGCCTGTGGATCCATCAGTTTTAATTCTCTCACTTTCTAATTTCTCCTGTCTTAAATTCATCTATCCATATTTCTGCAGTAATTTGTGAAGTCATGAAAAGTCTTCAGCACTTTAGTGTGAATTTCTCCCAATTAAGCACATTTTAATATGCAGTTTTTACTATTGTACGCCTTGTTTCAAGCAACATCCCCAAATATAATACCTTTTGGTATGTTATTTTCACAAGGCTGTTCATTCTTATGCACACTAACCCTTAATGTATATGCATTTCTCTGAACATTGGCTGAAGAACTGAACTGTAAAGTTTAGATTAGTGCAAATTTTGAAGGATGGCTATGTTATGGTTCTCATATCATTTCATAAAGTGCAAATCTGATAAATTCAGCTTTAAATGCAAACAGAATCTGATATCTCCTCCATGCCTAACCCACTGCTATTTGGATTGGGGTGTGTGTGTGTGTGTGTGTGTGTGTGTGTTTTTGCACTCTGGTGTGTGTGAGACTGTGGGGTGACTGTGACTGGGAAGGATTGCAACATGGCAATGGGCTCTTTGAACCAGAACCAGAAAAGCTTAGTCATCCCATCAGTATGACCTTTTGTCACAGTCTCCGGGTTAAACCACAGAGCCTAGGATTTGCCGATCAGAAGGTCGGCGGTTCGAATCCCCGCGACGGGGTGAGCTCCCGTTGCTCGGTCCCTGCTCCTGCCAACATAGCAGTTCAAATGCATGTCAAAGTGCAAGTAGATAAATAGGTACCACTCTGGCGGGAAGATAAATGGCATTTCCGTGCGCTGCTCTGGTTCACCAGAAGCGGCTTAGTCATGCTGGCCACATGACCCAGAAGCTGTACGCCAGCTCCCTCGGCCTAAAGAGCGAGATGAGTGCTGCAACCCCAGAGTCAGCCACGACTGGACCTAAAGGTCAGGGGTCCCTTTACCTTTACCTAAATCACTGGTAGCTGACATGATACTCTCCAGATGTTGCTGGACTACAACTCCCATCAGGCCAGCCAGCACTGGCAGTGGTCAGGGGTGATAGGAGCTGCAGTTGAACTACATCAAAATGTCAGCATAAATGTCTTCAGCACATGGTGGAAGCGACTCAATGACGATGCTGGACAAATCTGTGTGTGGAGGGAATTTCTGTCAGAAATGACCTTCATTCCCCACAATTCTGAGGATGGTGGGACTATCAAGAGTGACCCACCTGCTGATCTTAACACTTGAGAGGTATGCTATGGCCCTGTACCTGACCCATCTGCCAACTTGGGTTACTCGTTGTGGGCACTTTGGTTTTTATTATTTTTAATCAAACAGAAGTCATTTGAGGATTTGTATAGCACATGGCTGGGAAACTCCTGACCTTTCTGATGTTGCTGAACTACAACTCCAATTATCCCTATTGACCGTGTTGGTAGCCCAGTGGGAACTGTAGTCCAGCAACAGTCGGAAGGCACCATTCACAGGAAGGCTGGCACAGCACTTTTTGAAGCCTGCAGTTCTCAGTAAAGTTCATGGGGTTCAAATTCTATTGAGTTCCTTGGCATTAACGAATACACAGGTCTGGGATTCAGCTATGGCTGTTTGTTTATTCATTATATCTTATATCTTAGCTTTCATCCAGTGTGACATGCATTATTTTCCTCCCCCCATCTTATCCTCACAAGCCTGTGAAGTAGGTGAGGCTGAAAAATAGCACCTGGCCCATCTAGTGAGTGTCCTCGCCCCCCAGTTGTAGCTTCTTTAAGAATGTAGTTATGGACCTGAGGCTTACAGGGCAAACCTTTTTCCTTTGGCTTCTTTCTTCTTTGGACACTGAGAAAAATAAAAGCCTTCTGCATAAGGCATCAGCTATCCTGTCAGACTTTCCACCCCACCATTGGTATTTTCCCACTGGCCAAGCTTTGGTAAGCTTGAAGGAGCATGTGATGGTTAGACTTTGGGTGTGAAGCTTTTCCTTTGCCCTGCTTATTCTTTTTGGGGTGCGTAAATGACTCTGAGCTCCTAGCAGCCTAAAACCCAAGAGGATAGGTTGACTAGGGCTGATTTTCTCTGAGATGTGTCACAGGGTACCCCAACCATGTAAACTGTTTCTTCAACAAGTTAAAAGTGATAACAGGATGTTCTGGGCAATTGTACCATCTATGGCTTTGATTATCAATTCCAAAGCATTAGTAGTGAAAAAGTTTTCCTCCTAAAAGGCATTGGGAACAGAGAATGAATCCTTGAAAAGCAAAGTTGAAAATCTGCAATGGGGAAAAACAGAGCAGTATGTGCCTTGGTTTTGTTAAGAAAGGTCTTCAAATCGGTTGCAGCTACGTCGGTGCCTGCTAGAGGATTTCACCCCAAACTGCTGCTTTCTAGGGGGCTTGCCTTATCTGACACTCAAAACGCTTCTCCATTACCCAGTTATCCTTACCACACCCCTATAAAGTATGCCCCTATTGCAGATGGGGAGCTAAGCCCAAGAAGGAATGGCTTTCGTGGTGTGTTTGTGGCCGTGTTTATGAAAGACAACCTTACTCGGCTACAAGTGATTGCTAAAGAGAATGTGGGATCTGACCTTCCAGAATCATAGTGCACACTTGCAACCAATCCTATTAATGAATAGTCTTAAATCTTGGAGGTTCTCTGTCAAGGTGTGGGGCGCAAGGATTTGGCAGTTAGCATTGGATAAGTTAACTCAAGAATGCAGATGGACCAGAGGTGAAACCTGAAAATACATTTTTTCTGGAAGTTTGGTTTTGGTTTATTTCCCATGCCAAAATGAGGGGAAGACACGTCAGATGCCACTGGGTCATCTTTCTTTCTGGACTGACTCCACAAAGTCACCTAGGTCCTTGGACAAACTCATGTAGCTAATTAATTTTTTCTCTCCTTCTGGCTCAGTGCTTCTTTTGGTATCTGAGATGGTAACCTGAGATGGTTCAAGCTATGTGGCATTTTGCTACTGTTCTGTTTTTTTCTTTCTATTACAGTGGTACCTCAGGTTACATACGCTTCAGGTTACAGACTCCGCTAACCCAGAAATAGTGCTTCAGGTTAAGAACTTAGCTTCAGGATGAGAACAGAAATCGTGCTCCAGTGGCACGGCAGCAGCAGGAGGCCCCATTAGCTAAAGTGGTGCTTCAGGTTAAGAACAGTTTCAGGTTAAGTACGGATCTCCGGAATGAATTAAGTACTTAACCTGGGGTACCACTGTATAACTAAAAAAAAAGTTCAGCAGAAATCTATTTGCAAAACAACAGGAAGGAAACCCACAGTGCAACCCTGTGAATGAAGTGATTCCTAATTGTATACCTTGGTGCTTACTCCCAGCTAAGCGTGCACAGAGCTGCGGCCTTATTTACTAGTACAGGGGTAGCCTTTGGAAAAAGGGTGCCTTTTGGAAACCATTGAATTACAGCTCCCACCATTCCTGACCATTTGCCCTGCTGGCTGGGGTCAATGTGATTCTAACAGCATCTAAAGGGCAGTAAGCAGGCATAGAATTGCATTCCTTAGCCCCTGCACATTCCCCAGTCCAATGACCTCCAGCGGTTGTTGGGCTTCATCAGCTCCAACCAGCATGGCTAACTTTAAGAGATGATGGGAGCTGTAGCCTAATACCTAGAGGGCAGAGAAGGCTCCCCTGTGCTATGGGTGCATGCATGCATGATTCCCTATGAACTCTGAAACAAAGGACCCACAGTTAATAAATAAATAAATCCAAACTACATCCATTCTACTTTTAGGATTTTATTATAATTGTTCATTGTATGTAACAAGTCAATGTTATACCTAAGGATTTATTTATTTTTAATGCCGCAGCTGCGACAATAGATGCAACGTATTAAGTTATCATAACATATCAGCATTCTGATTTGCTACAAGCAGGAAAATGCATTTTGACAGCAAATATCATCTATCATGAGGTGTGCCCTGCAGCTGGATCCCTTTAGGCTCAGAACAGAGTGCAAGTCCGCCAAATGAAGGCAATCTCCGGAATGAATTAAGTACTTAACCGGAAATGAACTAAGTACTTAACGAAGATCCTCATTGGCACTAGCAAAAGTGGGCCCAGGGATTTTTTGGGCGTGTTCTTCTGCTTTAAGTCTCAGATCTGCAATGCTTGAATCTCTCCTTTCAGCTCGGGTGGGCTCTGCAACGGCCGTTGCAACGGACTCCGCTGGGGGTTCAGGTGCGTTCATTGAAGCCAAAGCAGTTGTCCGAAAGGGGGTTAACCCACCAAACCCACCAAAATAGCTATATTCATTGGGGAAGAAAGAGAAGGTCAATATCAATTACTTTAAGGGACAACATGTTGCTACAAAGGAGAACAGAAGGGCACCAGACAAAAGGTAGATTTGCTCCAAATCTCTTTTCTTTTAAGAGTGTTCCGTCCTGCTTTGCCGATAGTCTGGGGTGGCTTATTATGAGCAAATAATTTGATATATATGTCAAACTCCAAAATATGCAATACCTTTGTCATGATCAACCAAAGTGTCGTGAAATAATGAGTAAGCTTTAGAGTCTTTCATAACTCCTTGTCAAGCAAGATGTTACACATATTGAGCAGACAAGGAACAATAATAACTGCCCCCCACCCCAAAGTACTAAACTCTTGTGGCTGTTAGGCTCATTTTCCAGGTGGAGGTTGCAGGCCAAGTTAAGTCCATGGTGCTACAGATGATGGGGATGATGATTTAATAAAAAGTTTATTTTAAAAGCTAGCATAAACAGTGGTGGTGCCGTAAAAAGAGGGGTTCATTGAAGAAACAAGGAACTTTTTCGTGTGTGGTTTGGGAGAAGTTTGTCTCACATGTTAGGAGTTTTGGAAGAGGAATAACAGTGTATTTTGCTCCCAAGCTCCAACTTTACATATGCTTATATCTGAATTAAATCCTATTGATTTTGATAGAGTTAACTTTTCAGGTAGCAAGCTTTGAACTACAGCCTTATTTTAATTTCCAGTTTGTGACCCAGTTATAATTTGTATGAGGAAAGTGTATTTTCTTCGAATAACCACATGGACCATAGCTGAGAGAGGGGAGTTACAGGTCTGGGGGTGTGCTTGGTTCCCTGCCCACCCCCACCCCCCACCCCCTCTGGTCCTGCTGAGGAACATAAGGCCCTTTAAAACAGATCAGTTGCATGAATGGTGCCTCATCTTGCTGGGCACTGATATGTTGGCAATTGCGTGAACGGCTTTTGAAAAAGTAAAATGTAGACAAGAGAGGGCCTGGTCTGGGTTCGGATCCTGGTGTGGGTGCTAAGGAAATTTAACCCATTGCTGTCTGCTGTGACCCCAATATGGACTGGGCTTCCCAAGCTACACTATTTGCAAAAAACAAAACCAAACCCCCCCTTCAATTTGCTCTCTCTTTTTGGAACAAATACCAGGGATAGAGGGGTGACCTCAACAGGGTAAGGAAGTGTTAAAGCCCAATATTCCCCATGCTATTTTCCCGGTCTGGATTTCCCCTAACCTTGACATTTATGTCTAGCACTTGCAGCTACTGCCACTGTCTCTTCACTCCATCTCTCCCGTTTGGCTCCAGTTTGCAGAGCCACCTAGTGGGAAAAGAGGCATGATGAAGGCAATGAAAACTGCTCCTTCCCCTTGCTTCTGCCTGACATGGATCACTGGCTACGAGGGGACAGAAACAGCAGCAAATAGCCAATGTGGAGGAACAGCAGAATGGGGGGTGGGGGGGCTCTTTGAGCTGGTAGTAGCTCCTTGGCTGGGATGTGAGTCTTGGCTGCTGCCCAGTGATGTTGATCCTTGGTGCCAGCCTGGCTTATTACTTCCTTGGGTACCAAGCCCACTTTTGTGTGCTCCGTGTCACTTGACTCCTTCCTGAAAAGAGTTTCTAACATTCTCCCATGGTGGGAACATACATGCCTCCACGTATTTATTTGATGGGGAAGTCCATTTCAATCTGATGGGGATTACTTCTGAGATATAGGATTACACTGTTAATCTTATGTTTTTTATTTGGGGAAAAACAAATAAAATCTTATGTTTTTTATTTGGGGATGTCTGCTGTAAAAGGACCATCCAAAACAGTATTTTTTATGTTGTTAATCTATAACGATTAGTGTTATATATATTGTTGGTGTTACATATTAGTGCCATGCTCGGTCCCTGCTTCCCTCATGTTTGTCCTGACAGGAGTTCAGATCTGCTACCAATTTGTGATTGTAGATACTTGTACATCCTGTTTCGTAATGGCCATTGTACCACTGACAAATGAAACGAGTCAAAGGATACTACTATAAGCTGTCTGGCATGATTGGCAAGTAAATAAATAAAACGACCTGATGAGTTAGGCTCTTGATCTAAAGAACTTCAAAAAAATAAATAAATAAAAGTCCAGGAAGCCAAATGGGGCTCCTTTTTCAAAAGCAACGCTTTTCTCCACCTGCTTTTGAAACAGGGTGGTTTGGAGGCAACCTTCAAGCTGTTCAAAGGAGCAGGGAGCCATATTCCAGTGGACTAATAAATGTACCTTCACAAGTTTACACCGCTACCCTCTGGAGCTCAGCATAGGACAGGGCACCCAATTTTGAAGAACTTTGTTGCCTAAGATGGCAACCGGAGCCCATGAAAGCTTATGCCACAATAAATTTATTAGGTCTTTACGATACCACAACACTTTTTTTACTTATACTTCTGGTTCTTATTTCGACTTATGGCATTATCTTGCTGGGTTTTTAATGTTTAACATTAGTTGTAAGTAACTGAACTTTCTTTCTCTTTCTTTTTACTGAACTGATAACAATTGATGTACTTCTTATGGACATAGAAAGCTGCCTTAGACAGAATAGGACCATTGGTCCATCAAGCTCCATATTGCTTGCACTGAATGTCTGCATTTCTCCAATGTTTCAGACAGGGAATCTTTACCAGCCCTACCTGGGGATTGCAAGGATTGAACCTGTGACCTTCCGCATGCATAACAGCCTGACCCTCTAAAGCAGAGGTTTTCAACCTTTTTGTGTCCACGGCTCCCTTGACCAACTACATTCTTTCTGCCTCACCCCTGTGGGACTCTGGAGCCTAGTTATGTCACCCCTTGCCTGCAGAGCTGGCAGCCTCCCACCTACCCTTTTAGAGTTCCCCCAGCCTCCTCTCCCCTCTCCTTGGGAGTCCTCTAGGCAACCGCTGCCACCACCCCTGCCCCAAAGAGAGGTGCCTCCTCACACTGCCCCACAGCGGCCTGGGAAGAAAATGCCCCCAGCCTTAGTGGCCCAGCAGAGACTGGCCAGAGGTGAACGTGAGGCCAGCACCTTACCTTGGGAGGCAGCAGTGGGCACTGCTGACCCTGCATGGCAGACTGGCTCCCCTTCAGCACAAGGCACTCAGCTCCCAGGCAGGCCTTCCACACAGCAAACATAAGAAAGGCCAGCACAATGCCTGCCTGCCTGCCTGCCTGGCCTCCCACTTGTCTGTCCATTCCCAACAGCAAGGGCTGGAGGACTAGCTGGCTGGGCTCCCTCCTCTGCTTGCTTGCTTACTCATCTCCTGTCAACCAGCACACCCTGGCCAGCCACAGAGGCATCATTCACCTGGGGAGCTTATAGCTGGTGCTGCTGCAACAAGCCTTTGGGAGGCAGAGACACGAGAGGTCATCAGAGGACGGAGAGATGGAAAGAGGGACAGAGGCCAGTGTTGCCTACAGTACCCATGACTATCATTCAAGGCACCCCAGGGTGCCATGGCACACTGGGTAAAAACCACTGCTGAAGGAGTTTAAGACCAGTAAGGTTGCTTAGTCCTTATAGGCAGGGTATGGGCCTAGGAGACAAATTTACATATGCTAATCTTTACATATAGATGCAAATCTAGACTGACTTTGAAAAGTATAAAAAATAATTATTGTCTTATCTATTTGATATTAACAATTTTTTTTAAAAAAAAACAAGGGTAGAAGTGGGAGAACGAGGGCTCTATGCAAAAGGCTCCTTTGCAGCGCCTCTGTTTAAGACACAGCAAAGCCCACTGAAATCAGGATACTTAAAAGCATGCCTCACTCTGTGCAGGATCCGGCAGTCAGATGTGCATTCTCCCATTTTAATCTCAATATGCAACCTTCAAATTGATTGGATTCTTACCTTCCAAACTGGGGGCTCATGACTGGATTCTGGAATACGGATGCCCAGGTGAGGCCAAAGGGAGTGAAGCCTGGTGGGCAGAAAGGTGGGGCCAAAGCTGGCATAACCATGGGTGGGAATGGCACTGGTCTCCTCCATATGGAGTCGAGGATAGGTGTTTCACCGAATGGCATATCCAAGTACACACCCAAGGGATGTGTCCTGGCCAGGTTTGGATTTCTCCTTAAAATTTGAGATTTCTCTCGTTTCCTCCACTTTGCCCGTCGATTCTGAAACCAAACCTTCAGAGAGAGAGAGAGAGAGAGGGATTTGCAGTGCATTAGCAATGGCTACCACTTCTATTTACACTTCCATTATTGTCTCATCATTATTATTAACTCAGTGCAATCCTTGAGATATCTGTTAAGAGTTAACTCTCATTTGAGTCCAGTGGGACTTGTTGCCAGGCAAGTGTGTACAGGATTGCAGCCTAAAGCCCATAAATATTATAATGGACCAATGGTTTTCTACCCATCACCAAGGGCTGTGACCCACTTTTTATTTCCTGTTCTTGCCATTTCCTGTATATCTGTCAAGGACAGAGATGTGGAACCTCTGGCCCTCCAGATGTTGCTGGACTCCAACTTCCATCAGCCCCAGCCAGCAAATGGTTAGGGATGATAGGAACTGGGGTCCAAGAACATTTGGAGGTTTCTCGTCCTTGCTCTAGAGCAATCCCCCTTCTTCTTACCTTCTGTTCCCTGAAGACTGCAATAATGCCAGTGATGAAAGCCATGTTAGGGCTGTGTACATGCCATACATTTGAATCACATTCAGACCACACAGCTTCCCCCCACCCCAAAGAATCCAAGGAACTGCCTATGAATGCTGTTAATGCAAATGCACCACTCTTTGGGAATCAATAACAAAACCAGAGCCTATGACCCTAGGAGCAAAGAAACATGTACACATGGAAAAGATGTGAAGGTCAGAACAGAGACAAAGCACAGTTGAATGGCTTGGGGATTGTTATTATTTCTTTAGTGTCACTGATGAATATTGTTGCACCTGGTTTTTTTTACAGGGAGTTGGAACTAGAGGAAAGAGGGCAATCCAGTCAGATGGGTGGGGCATTATTCTTATTCTTATTCTTATTAATATCGCCTAAAGCCATGCTATCTAAAGTACTAGCATTAAAGGAGAACCTTCAGTAGACAGGGAATCATAATCATAATGATAATAGTAGGTTTCCCATATTCCTCAAAGTGAAAATCCAGACAGAGTTGTTGAGGTTTTTTTGGGTGGGGAGGGAGACATCTTTTTTGGGAACACCCCCCCCCCATTTGGGGGCTTTTCTTTGATTCTTTTTTTTTTTTAAGCGCTCAACTTGCCATACAACCTGGGCATTTTTCAGCAATTCCTGGACATAATAATAATAATAATAATAATAATAATAATAATAATAATTCTCCCTGATAGGGACTCAAGGACTCTTACATAGAAATATGAGAACCCCTAAAAACAGAGAAATAAGAGAAAGTTCAATTTAAAGTGATCAAGATTTGGCTTCAGTTGAGTTTCGGTTTTAACCAAAAAAGGTCAGTTTTGAAGTGTAAACTACCAAAGTGTTTATTAAATCTAAATCAGGGATGGGGTATTTCAGGCCTGGGTGGCTGAATGTGGCCCTCAACACCCTGTGACTGGCCCTCAGAACTATCTCCAGGTCACAGCTTCTCCTGGCTGCATACTCCCTCTGCAAGTTATTCCCAGAGTGCTTTAACAATCAATCCCTGTTCCCAGGGAACTCTGCAAATTGTAGCTCTGTGAGGGGAATTGGGATGTCCTAACAATTCTCAGCACACCTTTGACAAACTACAGTTCCCAGGATTCTTTGGGGGAAGCCATGACTGTTTAAAGGGGTAGTATACCACACTGAGAGATTTTACTTTCTTGGGCTCCATGATCACTGCAGACGGTGATAGCAGTCATGAAATTAAAAGACGCCTGCATCTTGGGAGAAAAGAAATGACAAACCTAGACAGCATCTTAAAAAGCAGAGACATCACCTTGCCAACAAAGGTCTGCATAGTTAAAACTATGGTTTTCCCAGTAGTGATGTATGGAAGTGGACCATAAAGAAGGCTGATCGCTGAAGAATTGATGCTTTTGAATTATGGTGCCTGAGGAGACTCTTGAGAGTCCCATGGATTGCAAGAAGATCAAACCTGTCCATTCTTAAGGAAATCAGCCCTGAGTGCTCACTGGAAGGACAAATCCTGAAGCTGAGGCTACAATACTTTGGCCACCTCATGAGAAGAGAAGATTCTGATGTTGGGAAAGATTGAGGGCACAAGGAGAAGGGGATGGCAGAGGACGAGATGGTTGGACAGTGTTCTCGAAGCTACCAACATGAGTTTGACCAATCTGTGGGAGGCAGTGGAAGACTGGAGTGCCTGGCGTGCTCTGGTCCATGGGGTCACGAAGAGTCGGACACGACTAAACGGCTAAACAACAACAGATACCACTTCAAGCAGGGGTCAGCAAACTTTTTCAGCAGGGGGCTGGTCCACTGTCCCTCAGACCTTGTGAGGGGCTGGACTATGCCCCCAAAATAACCCAGAGATGCATTTTAAATAAAAGCACACATTCTACTCATGTAAAAACACCAGGCAATTGGGCTGGATCTGGCCCCCAGGCCTTAGTTTGCCTACCCTTGGCTTTAAGTGAACAGTGAAGATGGGGCCTTAGTTGAACTAGCAATAACTTTTTTGTAACGGAGTCACTGATGTGTCAGCAAAGGAGACAGGAGGTATGGGGAATGGGGGGCTGAGCATGAGCCAATGCTGTGATGAGGGATCGAGGTAAGCAGTGCTATTTCTCTAGAAAAAGAGGTGCCAGAACTCGCCATGAACATCCCCACTTTGTTCTCTTACGATATGATACGATATGATAATCTTTATTGTCATTGTCCCATACAGAACAACAAAACTGGAAAAAAAAATCTACATAAGACATTCAAAACCAACAATCCTGCTATCCCAGCTAACCTAACCTGGTTAGCCCCCTAAAAACTCTGATACCCCATTTTAAAAATACAATATACTCCCATAGAGACTCCTTACACTGTGTTTAAAATGAAAGCAAATTTATAATGGCAATGGCGCGCAGTTCCGGCGAGTTCCGGCTGGGGGGGCAGAAAAAGCCCTGGAGATAAGGCTGGTTTGTACCTGTGAGATATTTCTACAGTTCCCACCCCCATTCCATTCTGAAGACAAGCAAAAGAGTAGTAACATCCAGATTTGGCATAGTGATTGATTCACTTTTCTATTTCTCACATTCGGAGTCAGACTTTGATTTACCTAGCACTATAAAATATGCATATGTAATAAGGTAAAGGACCCCTGGACGGTTAAGTCCAGTCAAAGGCGACTATGGGGTTACGGCGCTCATCTTGCTTTCAGGCTGAGGGAACCGGTGTTTGTCCACAGACAGCTTTCTGGGTCATGTGGCCAGCAGGACTAAGTCGCTTCTGGTGCAACGGGATACTGTGACGAGTGCCAGAGCACACAGAAACATAAACAATAACAATACATTTATTATTTGTATCCTGCCCACCTGACTGGGTTGCTCCAGCGACTCTGGGCAGCTTACCTGAAGTAGCTGCATCTTACCTGAACTCTGGATTCCTTAAGGTCCAGACTCTTTGCAAGTGCCTCCCTACCAATGGAGAAAAAAAATGCATTTTGAACATGATTATTGCAGCATTCTGTATACAGTGCTACCAGTGGGCCTGCTTTATATGAGGGCAATGTCTCAGCCCCAAGGAGCTTACAATCTATAGTATAATTCAACACAGGGGAAGAACCGAGGGAAGGGATACAGGTGGAGGAAGGCATTTAAAGCACATCAGATCCCCCTCAAGAATCAGCAGAAGCATAGTTTGCTAAGGGTGCTGGGAACTGCAGCTCTGTGGGAGTTAAACTACAGTTCCCAGGATTCTTTTGGAGAAGTCACATGCTTTAAATGTGTGGTGTGTTCATGAATACAAGATCTGCTAAAGCAGAGGCTGGAGTTCCATCGCAACTGGAATTGGATGGTGGGGGGCAAGGTCCATTGCCTTGTGGTAGACCCTCTGCAGGCGGTGCCTGGTTTGATCCCTCACTAGGGAAAGTAAAGATCCCTGCCTAAAACCGCTACCAGTCAGAGATGACAAAACTGAGCAAGATAGACCAATGGGCTCAAATAACAACAACAACAACAATCATTTTATTTATACACTGCTCATTGGGCTGGGTTGCTGCAGCTACTCTGGGCGGCTTCCAACACATATAAAAAATAATAAAATGTCAAACATCCAAAGATTCCCAACACAGGACTGCCTTCTAGTGTCCTCTAAAAGTTGTACAGTTCTTTATCTGGTGGGAGGGCATTTCACAGCGTGCCACTACCGAGAAGGCCATCTGCCTTGTTCCCTGTAACTCCACTTCTTGGAATGAAGGAACTGCCAGAAGGCCATCATTGTCTGAGCTGAATGATGTGGGAGGAGATTACCCTTCAGGTATACTGAGCCAAGGCCGTTTATGGCTTTAAAGGTCAGCAACAACACTTTGAATTGTGCTCGGAAACGTACACTGAAGCTCTGTGAAGGTCCTTTAGGACTGGTGTTATATGGTTTTGGCGGCCACTCCCAGTCACCAGGCTAGCTGCCGCTTTCAGGATTACCGTATTTTTTTGCTCTATAAGACGCACCTTTTCCCCTCCAAAAATTAAGGGGAAATGTGTGTGTGTCTTACGGAGTGAATGCAGGCTCTATGGCTTCAGTGAAAGCAACGCGAAGCCTCCGAAGTGCAGAGGGAGCACTCCCTCTGTGCTCCGGAGGCTTCTCGTTGCTTTCGCTGAAGCCAGGAGAGCGAGAGGGGTCGGCTTTGCTTTGCTGGAGAGGCGCTGCACAGCTTTCCCTCTTTGCGCAGTGCCCCTTCAGGGAAGCGGGAGGAGACATGGAAGGGGCTCCGTTTCTCCTGCCGCTTTGCTGAAGGGGCGCTGCGCAGAGAGGGAGAGAATTTTTTTCTTCTTGTTCTCCTCCTCTAAAACTAGGTGCGTCCTATAGAGCGAAAAATGCGGAGAGCAGGCGTGGGTGGGGCTGGTGCGCATCCTGGTGGTGTGGCATGCTGCCTGTGGTGGCGTGGCACCCAGCACAGGTGGGAGGGCAGCCATGATGGCACCCCATCAGGATCAATCTGCGGGGGGGGGGCGCAGGCGGGCGGTGCGCTCCCCCCGCACTCCTCTTCCTCCGCCAGTGGCCCCATGTAAAGTGTGTTGCAGTAGTCCAAGTGGGAGATTACCAGACCATGCACCACTCACCCCCCAATATCACTTTCTGGACACAGCCTAGGAGGAAGGAGCAGAACCACTGCATAACAGTACCCCCAGCTCCCAACTCCTCTAGGTGATCCAGAAGGATATCATGGTCAGTGGTATCAAAAGCTGCTGAGAGATCCAGCAGAACCAGGAAACAGCTTCTACGTGTCTCCAGGAGAACATCTACTGCAACCTGAAGCAGCCTGGGCAGGGAAACATGCACTCAGAAAACTGGGTCTGGTGCAAGCTAATGACTTCCTAAAACCACTGCTGTGTGTAAGAGAAACCTGAGGATCGCTGTGTAATTTTTTGGGCGGGCTGACTCCCTCTTTGAAAATATTGGGGGTCCATGGTCCATCCCTCCCTCCACCTCCAGATGGCACCTCTAGTTATGCTTTATATAATTGCTTGTTTCATTGCTTGTTTTAGTTATGGGTTTTTAAGGCCACAGTGTCAGCATCTGTGTGTCTGGATAGGCTCACCTAAACATAAATGTTTTAAGCAGGTGCTGAAAGAAAAAGCATACAGCAAAGGCAGCTGACATCAATAGACAGGGAGTTCCAAAGTGTAGGTGCTACTACACTAAAAGACCAATTTGTTACAGGTGTGGAATGAGTGACATGCACCAACTATAATGGTTGGCTGGCTTGCACCTGATAAGCAATTGCTGAACAAGGTACACTGTGAGGTGGAGTGGAGAGCAACAGAGAGGCATTAGCAAGATGAGCTGGGGAATGAGTGATGCAATAAACAACCTTGACATATAAAACATAGGGACCTGTCCTGTACTGTTTATCCACCTTCCCTACTATTTTTGGCTCTAACCAGTTCTAACTGGCATCCCCATCACATCTCTAAATCCTTTTACAGTGGTACCTCAGGTTAAGAACTTAATAATAATAAAAAGAACGGAACTCCAGAATGAATTTTTATTATTGATACAGAAAGAAAAAAGAAAAAAACACAAATACCAAATCTGCACACAGGAATAACCATAGACACATTATTTTCTTAACAAACAATAAAACATAAATTGGTCTTAACACTAAAGACCCAACCTCCTGTCTATTCCATATTTTGCTTTCATATTACTTATTGCCAATACACACTTTTATCATAATTAAACTTTCCCTTGAAATATCTAACTGGCATCCCCATCACATCTCTAAATCCTTTTACAGTGGTTCCTCGGGTTAAGAACTTAATTCATTCTGGAGGTCCGTTCTTAACCTGAAACTGTTCTTAAATTGAGGTACCACTTTAGCTAATGGGGCCTTCCGCTGCCGCCATGCCACCACCACACAATTTTTGTTCTCATCCTGAAGCAAAGTTCCTAACCCGAGGTACTATTTCTGGGTTAGTGGAGTCTGTAACCTGAAGTGTCTTTAACCTGAAGTGTCTGTAACCAGAGGTACCACAGTAACTGGAAATGCCAGGAATTGAACCTGGAACCTTTGCATTTTCACAACAATTTCTTTTTGTACAGTTTTTTTTATTTTAAAAATGGATCTTCTCAGTAGGTACCTGTATAGATACAGTGGTACCTTGGGTCAGTGGCGTAGCGTGGGTTGTCAGCACCCGGGGCAAGGCAGAAGCACCCGGGGCAAGGCCCCCTAACCCGTGGATTTGCGCCCCCTAACCTGTGGATTTGCCCTAACCCCAGATGTTGCGCCCGGTGCGGCCGGCCCCCCCTGCACCCCCCACGCTATGCCACTGCCTTGGGTTACTTACACTTCAGGTTACAGACTCCACTAACCCAGAAATAGTACCTCGGGTTAAGAACTTTGCTTCAGGATGAGAACAGAAATCGTGCAGTGGCGGCACAGTGGCAGCAGGAGGCCCCATTAGCTAAAGTGGTGCTTCAGGTTAAGAAGAGTCTCAGGTTAAGAACGGACCTCTGGAACGAATTAAGTTCTTAACCCGAGGTACCACTGTATAGGCATCATCATCATCATCATCATCATCATCATTATTATTATTTTGTTTGCATGCCCTCTCGACTCTTCACCCTGTGCAAGGGAACCACCCATACCGCCCTAAATCCGGCGCTGCCCCAGCGTCTCCGAGTAGGAGATGGGAACGTTCCGCCTGAAACCCTGGCGAGAGGCTGTTAGCGCCGACAATATAGACCGCAAAGCCAGACTTAGAGCAGACCCGCAGCATACTTTTGAAGTACGTGGCTCTCCTCCCCCAATCTTGGGCACTTTCGTTTAAGGATGAAACTACAGTCCCAACGCGGTATTTAGACGGATAGTGCAGATGGGGACACACCTGTCCTTCCCGCTACCGAAGGCGCACCTAGCCTACCTGGTGCCCACGTCGGGGTAGTGGGACGTGCGGAAGGAGCGCTCCAGTTCATCCAGCTGGGAGTCGCTGAAGGTTGTCCGGTAGCGGCGCTTCCTCGGTGGCGCGGGCCCAGGAGCCTCGACGGCGTTGCGGGCTGCGTTCTGCGCCGGGATGTTTGGAGCGCCTCTCCCTCCAGCTTCCTCTCCTCCCTTCCCCTGGTCCGCGCCGCTCCCCGCCGGGAGTTCTGGGGCCATTTTTTCCGCCATCGGATGGGCCTGGGGTGGGTTCGGCGGCTCGACGGGGTCTCCGGCTTGCAGGAGGGGAAAAGGAGAACTTTTGTGAGTGGTGGGGTAGAGGCGAGGGAAGAATCGCTTCCGTGCCTGCCCTTGGAGAGTCACTACGGAGAGTGAAACGGGCGTCAGGATCGCGTCCTGGAAAAGCGCACGCCGCAACCCCCCCCTCCCGCCGCAGCTCCGTTTACTTGGAAGTAAAGCCTCGGGGAGTTCCGCGGGATAGAAGAAAGGCTAGTTAACCCCCCACGGCAAATAGGCAAGTAAAGTAAAATTTAGGCTTGGAACTAAAAATGATGTATGCCAGTCAGGGCAGGATATAGGACAGTTTTTGGTGTGTTTAAAGTCTGCGCAAACCCCGACAACACCGAATAAAGTAAGGCTGAAGCCTCACTTGCGCTTACGTAAGGTATGGGGGACGCGGGGGTAAAGTTCTGTTTTGATGGAGTAACTTGGCTGCAAAGATGTTTAGGATTTGCGTTTAGGGCTGCGGCGATAACGGCTGAGCCTAAACAGGTGCAGGTGGAGATGAGCGAATAGGTGTTGCCCCCCCCCCCCGAGATCAGAATTCTAGCAACTTTCCCACCCTGGAGTTTTCTGCCTGCAACGCTGGACATAACCCCCCCCCCCGACTCAGTCCCCCTGGGCCCAATGGCATTCCTGGGGTCTCCCTAAAACCCCTCTTCTCCATCTTGATGGACGGGGCAAGTTAGAAGAAGGGTGCCCCCGTCACTGATCACCCCGGTACCGTATCCTTTTCCTTCTCCGCCGCCGCTCACCGTGGTGTCCCGCGTCGGGGCTCCGGCTGCCTAGGATGCTGTCGATGAAGTAAGAGGTGAGCGAGCGTCGGGCGGGGGCAGCGGAGGAGCAGGCGCTCTCCATAGTTACTAGCCGCCCATCGCACGACGCCGACTTTTATTGGAGCGGACAACGCCCGTATTATATTTCATGGGCGGGCGCGGCAATGTCCCTGGGCAGGTACTTGGCCTCTGGGGGTGGGGTGGGGGTGCGAGGCGGCCCCTGGGAAGAAGAACGCGAATAGCAACCGCTTCCGGATAATGTAGCATCCCGCCCGAGGTGTAGTCTACCAGCCAGATGAGTTGAGTTGCTTTTTATCCCAAGGGTGGCTTGACAGATTCGAAAGTTCTGTCGGAGAAACTATTACTGTAAAGGGTGGCTACTTTCCAGGCGGTCCGATTCTAGAATATCGACCATCTTTCTCTGAAGACGATGGATGGGGTGCACCTGAACAGGGATAAAAACGGGGAATTTCCGACCCCTCTATCCCTATTCTCCATGAATTTGGCAGGTGTCCTATCTTTTTCTTAAGGGGGTTAAAAAGTATCTTGATATGGCTACGGTTACAGAAGACGCTGCTTTACGGAGAGTCAAGGCAGCTCGGTGTTGCCCCACAGAAGGGCATCAGCTGTGTGGGATTTTAGACAAGGTTGTCTCCCAGCCCCACCTGGGACTTTCTGCGTATAGATGAGCACCTGTACTGCATTTCATGCAATGTACAATTAAGTCGAAACACCCATTTTGTTGACTTTTATTTGTTATTTTATTCTACTCCTCTCTACCGAAATAATAATCTCGTACAGTAACGCAATGTAGTTCTATCAACAGCATAAACATCGTGTTCCAAATCATTCATATATATATATATATATAGAGAGAGAGAGAGAGAGAGAGAGAGAGAAAGTTTAATATTATTTCATATTTAAAACTTTCTCCATTACTGCTTCAGGTTTTCATTTTGTAAACTGCTTTGAGAAGGTTTTTTCTTTTTCTTTTTTTATAACCCCCCCATGGTATTTAAACAATACTTTAAATAAATAAATGAGCGCCCTGCAATTTCTGAAGTTCATTACCAGACTTTGCAAAATTGCAAGACAGCAAGGATGCTAGTACTTTAATTAAAATTAAATCTAATGAAATGGATATAAGTGTGAAATATTTTTCATTCTTTATGATGGTTTCTTACAGCCTTTGGCCTCTAACCTTTCGCTCTGTTGCAAGGGTGCTAACTTGAATAAAATATTTTTTTTGGGGGGGCAGGTAACCCCACCCTGCATAACTAATCACAAGACACAGTGCACACACACCATTTGAATGACAATGCCCCTAAACTTGGGGGACCATGGCCCCTTCAAATATTTTATGGGGGGAGGGCAAAGGGACCTCAGCCCCTAGGAGTTGGCTCCTATGCTCTGTTGAATATGCTCCCACTCTCTATGCCCACACACATCTACATTCCTGGGCTTGATGCTACAGAAAGCACTTCCTATTGCTCAAATTCTGCCCCAGATTCAACATGAAAAGCTGATAGAGGCAATCCTATGCACAGCTACACAGGTGGTGTCTCAGCCCATTTGATTTCAGTGGGGTTTGTTGTTGTTTAGTTGTTTAGTCGTGTCCGATTCTTCGTGACCCCATGGACCAGAGCACGCCAGGCACTCCTGTCTTCCACTGCCTCCCGCAGTTTGGTCAGAGTCATGTTTGTAGCTTCGAGAACACTGTCCAACCATCTCATTCTCTGTCGTCCCCTTCTTCTTGTGCCCTCCATCTTTCCCAACATCAGGGCCTTTTCCAGGGAGTCTTCTCTTCTCATAAGGTGGCCAAAATATTGGAGCCTCAGCTTCACAATCTGTCCTTCCAGTGAGCACTCAGGGCTGATTTCCTTCAGAATGGAGAGGTTTGATCTTCTTACAGTCCATGGGACTCTCAAGAGTCTCCTCCAGCACCATAATTCAGGCTACACTCCTAGTAGTAGTAGCAGGCAGAAGCCCAGGACCCCACTCCAAAATGAGTAGAAGGGTCCCTATACACAGCAAGGCAGGTGAACCACATTTTTGGCAAGTGTATCCAGAAACATGTTTCCTGTGCTGCATGATACCTGCATTTCAGGGGTTTCCAGCTTTACAATTCTACGATTCTATCATCCTTTTCAGAAGTGGCACTAACTTTGTGGCACCTTCTGGAAGAAATGTGGAAAGTCCTTTTACTGGATTCCTTTCAGGTCTTCCAGAATTCTTTGGCTAACGTTCTCTGGTTATTTTTCAGCTGTCTTTGGATCCTGACTTTACAGTGGTGCCTCGGGTTAAGAACTTAATTCGTTCCGGAGGGGAGTTCTTAACCTGAAACTGTTCTTAACCTGAGGTACCACTTTAGCTAATGGGGCCTCCTGCTGCCGCCAGAGCACAATTTCTGTTCTCCTCCTGAAGCAAAGTTCTTAACCTGAGGTACTATTTCTGGGTTAGTGGAGTCTGTAACCTGAAGCGTATGTAACCTGAAGCATATGTAACCTGAGGTACCACTGTAATGTAATTTAGTATATGAGTTATTCTACTGTTGTATGTAGTTTCCAGCCAGCCATTACCTTTTGCAGCTTTTATATTTTAATTTTTTATTGGTGTTTTATTAGTGAACTTGGTTTGATACTTTTATCAGATTTGTGTGTGTGTGTAAAACTTTGGGTCTACCTTTGAGGGAGAAAGGGAGGATAAATATTCAGAATTTATATCCCGCCCTCCATTTTTCATTAAGGCATCAAGGTGTTAGACGTGTACACAATTTTTCAAAGTGCCAAAGTCCAGGAAAGAGACAAGAGGGGACAGTGAACCAGCTGCTCAGGAAGTAAGTCCATTTACTACACCTGTTTTACCCCAAATGTATGTCCAGGTGGCTGAAGAAAGTACCTGATGAAGAAGCCAAACCAAGGAAATATGAATCTGGGAGGTTCACCTTTAAATGCAACCTGAATCCGGTTTCTCTCCAAGCCCTGAAAGAGTAGCACTAATGAAGTTTGGTTTACACAAACCTGATCCAGAGCTTTGGATTTCCCTGAAGCACATTTCTAAAGAAAGAAAATTCTAGAGAAAGTGATTTCCTGAAGTTAATCAGGCAGTTGCATTTTCCACCTGCCTTGCCCCACCCTCCAGTCCTAGGAGCTTTATCCAGACTATGATTTTGAGAACAGCAGAGTTTTTTTGGGTTTTTTTTTTAAAAACAAAGTTTTGAGTCCTTATTTCTCAATTTGATCCTTTTACATAGCATTCCATGTTTTATGCATCATGACTTGATGCTATTTTTTATTGATTTTAATTTGTTGTTGTTGTTTAGTCGTTTAGTCGTGTCCAACTCTTTGTGACCCCATGGTCCAGAGCACGCCAGGCACTCCTGTCTTCCACTGCCTCCCACACTTTGGTCAGGCTCATGTCGGTAGCTTTGAGAACACTGTCCAACCATCTCGTCCTCTGTCGTCCCATTCTCTTTGTGCCCTCCATCTTTCCCAACATCAGGGTATTTTCCAGGGAGTCTTCTCTTCTCATGAGGTGGCCAAAGTATTGGAGTCTCAGCTTCAGGATCTGTCCTTCCATAGTAGTTCTTTATTTTAACTGAAAAGTGTAAAATGTTTAATTATATTTTGCTGATACTTTATTTTACTGTTTACTATTATATTCTAACGGATTATTGAATATTGCTTTATTTGATATAAGTTGTTCATTTTAAAGTTATTGTAACTTTTTTGTATTGGTACTAACTGTTATTATGTGTGTGATCTCTGCTGTCTGTTATGTTGTTTCTTCAGCTTGTAAACCACCTTGTGGGTAGTAATATAGAAAGGCGGTATAAAAATTAAAAGTGAAATGAAATAAAATGAGTAACTATCCATAAAACAACTAAAAACAGCAGATAAGCCTTAACTTGTTTCCTGAAGCTTTCAAAGGTCAATAGTTTCCCATGTGAGATGTTCAGAGAAGACTAGAAAAGAGTTGCCAGAAATATAAACAAACACATTTAATAAGTGCACATTTATTAGGAGTCATATTGCCAATGAGGACTTAGTTTCAGGTTAAAGAGTTCAAGTTTTCAGCCTGATTCTAAAAATGTTCACTCTGAAGTGAGATTCTAGTGCCAGTTCCTCAGAGGCAGTAGAGCTGCAGTTAAGAGTCCTTTCAGAAATCCTTTTTATTACTCATTCATGATGATTTGTGCACTCTGTG